GGCGCCGCCACCTTCTCGAGGCCACCAGCTGGCGGGAGAAGGAAGTGGAACCCGCGCCCGCTCCCCTGTGCCGAAGCGGCGCGGTCGCCATTCACTCACCCGCCCGCTTGCCCGCGCACTCCCTCACTCACGCACTCATTCATGCGCGCGGTCCTCCCCCATTCATTCAAGCGCGCCTGCAGCGCCGGGGTGGGTGCCCTGAGAGGGAGGAGATACCCAGTCACTAGACAGCTTCTGTGCCTTTACTCAATGCACGTGGGAAACAGCTGCCGGGGAAAGAGAATTATTTAATAAGCCCCTTCCGTAGACACACACATGTCCACACTTTATTTCCGAGACCAGGCTTCAACTCATCTTTTAAAGTCCAATTTCATCCCGCACCTGCTTCAAGGCGCCTTCCGAGCCCATCCGAGGCGCTGGGAGATGGATCTCTGCTCAGGGGCTACCAGCGCAGATGGTGGGCGGCTTCATTTCGAGCTAGAGCTCAAAGATAAGGCAGAGGGCGTGGCCAGAGCAAAGGACCCACACTGATTCTGTTATCTTTGCTTCCTTGGGCAAATTGAAAGCTCCTGGCCTAGGCGCCCTGCCTGTGATCCCAGAATTGACATCAGGTCCATTTCACAGTCATTTGCTGACCCCAACCCTCTCCGTGCCAAACACCTGGCAGAGGGCCTAGATTGGAGAGGACTGATTTTATCAGGGTCCTGGAAGAGTATAGATAATCCTACCCCATGAAGGCAATGTTTTCATGGGGGCTCTGGTGTTCCTTTCCTAAACTGGGAAGGGTAATCTGGGAATGCTTCCTATTGGAGATGGCTACATGAATTAGTCACTGGAAGTAAGGGGACAGCATAGTGGCCTGGACAGATACTTAGCACAGCCCAGAGCCTGTAGATGACTATGCTTGAGTAGGTGGTAACTGGGAGGATGCTTAGGGTTTTGCAAAGGGTTTGTTCTTTCCCCAAGATCAGTTAGGCAAGACTTTTGACCTTGCCTTCCAGAAAAATCTCTCAGCAGTAGAGGAGATGGGTGGATGGCAGAAATCAGCTTGGAAGCTACTGCAGGAGTGTGAGGAATGGATGGTGCTTCATGAACCGAGTCAGCCTGGCGGAGTGGCAAACAGGGTGTGTTGATAAAGTAGTTATCCTACTTATTCTGCTTCATCATTGTCGGTTTGCATGACTGTCTCCCTCCTGAAACTGTGGTCCCCCTGCTGGGCAAGCATCTGTATCCGATATGTCTCTGGATGCTCTGTGCCCTCACAGAAGAGCTGCTAAGGGAATGATTTGAAAGGATCCAGGTAGCAGTGCACATTGATATCTTCCCTGGGTCTCCTACCTGGAAGCTCCTGAGGCAACTGTTCTCCTGGCCACTGTGGCTAGGCAGAAAGAAAAGAAAATTTGAGGAAAGACCAGAAGCAAAGGGGAGCTTTGAGCAACAAGACTTTGGAGCTGATGGTTTCTCTGCCTGGATCTTACTGCAATTTGGCAGATGGGGAGGGGGATGGTCTTTATTTCCCCTCCTTGCTGGGGAACATGACAGCAGCTTCTAGAACAAGGCAGGGAAGGGCAGTGGCCATGATTTGAGAAATTAGCTCCCCTGGCAACTCCAGATGGGTTCCATCTGGCCTTTTCAAATGAGACTATGCCTAGGGCATAAAAGAGTGGCTGCAACAGCACCCCCAAGTCTCCTGAAGGCCCCCAAGTCTTCCATCCCCTGAATAGCAAGGAGCCCGGCCTGCTTAGCACTTAGATTCTGTTCCTCTCCCCAGCTCGGGCACCACCATCCCTATTGCCAGGGCTGTCTTCATAAAAGAAAAACCACCCGTGCCACTCCCTTCACTCTTGGCATTTCAACTCCCTGCATCTAGGCTCTGGGACAAGCCACACTGGGACCCCAGAGCCCCTCTGTGACCACGCTGCCTCTCCCCAACATGGGCCTTTGCACCTGCTGACCTTGCTCCCTATATAGACTCCCAGGAAACCCCAATGCACCTTTCAGCTTCCCGCTTGTGCACATGTCACCCCCTCCAGGAAGTCTTCCTGTCATGCCGGGTTTGACATGGTGCCCTCCAGAGTACATCCTCAGTCCTTTTTTTTCTCATGGTCCCAACCTCATGGTCGCTGTTGTCCCTTTTCTTGCCCCCATTCCAAGACAAGGGCAAAGCTGTCTTTTCCAGCTTTAGAGACTTTGTAAACCACGTATATATTTCCTCTTGCTAAGAGCTCAAAGCACAAAAATATGCATTCTTCCCTAGCCCCAGCTGGGGTGGGGGCTCCTTCTCTAAGCTGTAGAGCACCATGTCACCTGACCTCTGTCAGAGCAAACACTTAGGGAATCGCCAGATTCCTGCATTAGACGGTGACTCTTTTTAAACAGTTTAATTGCATGTATTTATGGGGCACAGTACGATAATTCAATAAAGGTGCCTCTGTAGGATAAGATCATGTCTGATTCATCCCAATGCCAATACAGGTTTGTGGGATGAATGTCTAAAGACAAAGTAGAAGAAAGGAAAGACAGGTTAGGCAGGCAGGCAGGCAGGCACGGAGACTCCACGGCCTCTCTTTCCTTCCTTCTTTCATTGAAGACATTGAGTAGTCAGAATTGGGTCAAACATAAATCATTAGCTCTTGACACACTGTCAGTATTACCCATGTGTGGCCCTTAATTTGCTTATTTATGACATGATGAACACCTGTGCATCCAACCCAAGAACTGGAACATTCCCAACACCATGTGCTCCTTTTCTGGCCTCAATTAGTTAAAAAAAAAAAAAATGAAGAAAAAAGAAACAAACCACTATTCGAATTGTTATGGCTTATTATTTCCTTGTGTTATTTTTTTCTATATGTGTGTGTGTGTTTGTTTCCTAAAAATTTATTTTATTTAGTTTTAATTGTTTTTGGAAATTTACAAATAAAATGTTAACTGGATATTGTTTCTAGGGACCCAATAGGACTATTTGGACTCAATAGGACTTATGCTTTAAGGATTGTAACTGTAGCTCATTCATCTTCATGGCTCTATAACAGTTCAGTGGATGAAGATACACAACTTATTTTCCCAGTTTCTTCCATAGCCTCGTGAATTAGTTTGGGGCTTCTAGGACTTAGGACCTAGAAGTGTAATGAGAAACAGCACCTCCACTGGCCCACCTAGGTACATCAATGCTAATGCTTGGAGTGGAATAGTTTTGAATCTGGGTGTCCTCCTCATCGCAGTTAGTCTGGGTCAACTCATCAAAATGAAGTGTTCCAATCCAGCTACAAGAAGAGCTGTATGTAATTGCATCATTACATACAAAGTAATCGCATCATTCACTGGGGATCCCAGGGACCCCTGACTCCAATGTATTCCCTCAGAATCACTTGTATACAAATAGGATATTGGCATATTGTCAGGGCTGCAGATTCCCCAACCATTTCATCTGCTGTTCCATTGTCCTTTTCCTTTTAGATAATTAGTTAGTGAGGCCCAGTGGTCTCAACACCATAGGAAGAATCTGGAAAACACCCGAGAGCCTGCAATGAAACAGACATTTTACCTTATGCATATATACGACCGCATGACCAATGTGATTCTACAGCCTGTACCATCAGAAAAATGATAAGTTACACCCCATCTATGTATGATATATCAAAGTGCATAAATGCATTCTATTGTCATGTATAACGAATTTTTAAAAAATTAAAAAAGAAAGAAAAAGTCAGGTGAGTTCAGTGACAGAGGCACCCAAATTCATCAGTAAGCATTGCACTTGGTGTAGGACAGGATATTAGGGACACATACACACACACACTCACACACTCACATGCACATAGACAGAGGCCTGGAGGTTGTGTTCCAAAATGCCTTGGCACACTGGGACAAGGTGGTGGGGTGTGTGTGGCAGATCATGGTAGGGTGGCACATGTCACAGGACTTTTAGCTCTTTAATTTCTATCATCTTCATTTTTCTCTTGTATAAATCCAGATGACAATAACGACTGCATAAAGTTGTAAAGATGAAAGGAGACGACGTATCCAACGGTTTAGCCAATGTTTCTTCAAGCCGTGATCTTGCATAAGTTGCCAGACATCTAGGAGGTTCAGATTCCAGTCCCTAACATGGAACGAATGGAACCTTCCTCTGTGTCATTTGTCACTTTGGGATGTGGAGCAGCTGAAGGACTCATGAACCTGGCAGGAAGCAGAGTCACTTCCTGTGAATGCACCTAAAGCCCAGCACTCAGCCATGCCTCCCCCAAATCTCTTGAAAACCCTCTTCACAATTCGTTTTTGGTGAAAGCGGACAAAGGGATCCCCCTCATTTCCCAGGCTCTCTTGCCCCTGGCTGCAGGTAGACTCTAGATTCTACTGAACAGGCTCAGTGGTCAGACTCTGCCTAGGATACACTGCCTAAGGGAACCTTCCAGGCCTCAGAATCCACTCTGGCTGGTGTGGGGAAG